GTCGAGGTGAGGCCGACTATTTCTAGCCGAAACCTCTCAGCCTCGCACACGAGCTCCGGCTCCTTCCCCACCAGAGAVGTGACRTTYCACGYCCYAAGAGCCAGCTTCAGCAGCCGAGGATCAGACCGCCAGGGTCCCCTCCTTCGGCCGCCGCCCATTTCACATTGCACCCGACCCCTTTGGCCCCTCCTCAATTGATTAGGGTCTTTATTATCCTGGGTATCAGGCTTAATGTTCTACTGTAAGTTTTAGAAAGCTGAAATCTGAGATTCCCTCCTCTATTTAAAGTTGGATTTTTTACTGGTTCGACATAAATGTTTTCCTTCAACCCCTCCTCCTAAATCAGGAGTAGGACTGCTGAGTCTGGTCCTGAAGAGCTGTTCTCCTGTGTTGAGCCATGCTTCTGTGGAGAGATTGTTTAGTTTTAGTTTAAAGTTGAGAAATCTTAATGGGAAGAAACATCTAACCAAGGAATGCATGGTGGTAGTAGAATACTAGGGATGTGCTGAATGGATCTTAAGTATTGAATCAAAGTCTAAATATGTTTACCCTCAGTGTCAGAGTAGCTGATATACTGTCTATAGTTTAACATCAGTCATATGTAAAACAGCTGCTGTAAAATGTTGTGATGTAACTTAACATATCTGCTGTATGGCAGTATTTTGAAATATAAAATACTATCAGATAAGTACCCTGGTATCAGCAGATATCTAGAACAGGTCCAATGTTTGCTACCTTCTGAGGTATTGTCCGACCCAAATGGTTAAATAAGAGTCCTTGTCTAAATGAGCTGTATGTCAAAATAAAGGCTGTTTAGAAGCACAGACTTTGGTCTGGGAACTTGTCCTATTACAGCCCAGTGTTTGAGCACAGAAAGTTATTAAACATCATAAACATAAAATGAATCTGAACCACATAAATAAGGCTTTGTGTGATCCTGCTTACCAATTTTTTTGCCGCAAAACAGGAAGTAATATTCACACAACACTGAGCATGAACCTATAGGTTCCCACATATAAAATCAATATCCTGTCAATCTTCTGTCAAGAAACAGGAAGTTAAATCTTCCTGAAACATCACCCTGTCTGACACAAATATCTCATATTTCTGTATGTTCTGAACTAAACCTGTTTTCAAATGTTACTAAAGGCAATGTTTACTATTTTTTAATACTGTCTGCTTTAGAATCAGGATCTATACATGTTTGATCATATTTTGTGTTTTTAGCCACACAGGTCAGCCCATCAGAACTACAAGACGTGTTCCAGGAAACAGCTTCCAATATCTTCCAGATCAACGCCAACGGTAACCTGACCTCTGATTAAGTAGGATCCTGATTCAAAGATAATATTGCATTTGAGCAATGGCTTTAAATATTGCTTATTTAAAAATCTTCAACATCTCTGCTCATTTGAAACGACACAAGTCCTGTGGTAATGTGTAAACATAAACAGGTCCTGGGTCATTTCCAGCAGGAATGTTCCTAATATTTCTATCAAACCGCTGAAAAAACAAACTGACAGTTCTGTGAAAGTTTTATAGATGTGGAATATTTAGTTTGAACCATTCTGATGAGCTAATGTTGTTGTCTTAAAACTTCAATCTCCAAAATTTCTCATTACACAGATATTTACATTGAATTCTGTGGTGTTAAAAAAAACTGTACATAGAAACAGTTGGGGCACTTCTGGTCATGTAAGGGTCAGGAACTGTGAGAAATTCACAACATTTCTACTGAAATTATTGTGTCCCTTAAAACTGACTTGTTTAAATAAAAACATTTAGATAACACATGAACATTTAAAGATTTCATCTTGTTAGGTAAACTTTAGATGGACAGTCATTGCAATCATTTCAAAAGCTAGCTACAACACCTCAGATAAAAATATGTATTAATATTCATAAAGAAACTCATTAAAAACATGTTTTTCTGGTTCGAGCTGTAAAATTAAACAATGATTCTGAACACTTAATTTCTGGCTCTGGTGTTAAATCAGGATATGATTATATTTTTATTTTAGGTGGAAATAATGTTTAAGTTTAAACATGTGATTCAAAGTAAAGAAACATTTCTTTTGATGGGAGAGAATTCATTTGTGGATAATACTAATCTTTTTAATAATTCTTTTTGTTTTCAGTTGTCACCCTAGAGAAAAATCTTCAATCACTGGGGACGTCTAAAGACACTTCAGAGCTGCGACAAAGTCTGTGAGTAACACATACACACACACACACCCACACACACATTCAGACAAACACTGAGCTGCTGATACAGTCAATTAGACTCTTTTTTTTCTTTTGGTTTTTACGTGTTCTTACGGATCGATTGTTCTCTTCACCTGAGCTCCCAGAAATGACCAGACTCACTGCTGCCAACGAGTCCAATCAGAGATGATTGTAAACGTTTAAAATGCATCACATCCTTCTCTTTTAGTTGACATGTCATCAATTCTATTGAACTGGTTTATAATTGGATGCTCCCAGGGTTTAGCTGTTTTTATTTTAAACCTCCCATGTTTTGTTCTGTAGGACGATGCTGTTTGCAAACCACATAATCCTTCCAAGTAATCCAACTCTGTCCAGGGTTATGGTTGGAAAAGCTGTTCAGGAAAACTTCATGCCATTTCTGCTGTAAAATTGTATGCTTCAAGGTTTCTTATGCTAATCCAATGAAAGGTGAGAATTTCACACCCTTTTTGCAAAACCAGGGCTTTTAAAATACAGGGTGAGTCAAAAGTCACAGAACATCCTTTTGTTTTGATCGAATATGGCAGCTTTCAAAATGGCGGCCATGTTTTAGACATAGCCTAAAAGATGGACCCCCTCACCCATTACTTGCTGAGGTATTTAGATGTATTTTCCTTTTTCTTTCTGAAATAAAAAGATGTGCTTTTTTATAATGGTCTAAGTATTTCACATAGTTTCCTTTTCTTCTCCAAAACCATGAATCCTATAGGAACATAAGGTCTTGAGCCCAACACCCCTGGTACCGGGGCCATATTCACACTTGTTGCTTTCTATTCCACTGACAAGTCTGTTGTTGAAGAATAGACACAGAAACTAAAAGCTCAGAAAAAACAATGTCTACTACCATCAAACAGTTCAAACCACAAACAGTCCAATTACCAGTGAGCAAACATTAAATGACATTAACATGAAACTCATTCTCAGCTGTTTATTCCACCGCTTAATCACAAACAACCAACATGCATGATGAAAGCAGAAAGAGATCTCACACATTCAGTAACTACAAGTTCCATCACAACCAATAAGAATTTACAAAACCAGCAGCAAAATAAAACCAGATTTATCGCTCACATAAGAAAAACATAACCAGAACCTAATTAGGTGGTTTTGTATCTGGATCGTATTTCCATCAGAATAAAACTATATTTATTGACCTCTCTGGTGGGGAAGGAGCCTGAGCTAGTGCACGAGTTTGAGAGGTACCAACAAGATATAATTGGGCTCACCTCCACACACATTATGGGATCCAGAACCAATCTCCTCGAGTTGGGCTGGACAATATTTTTTGAGGGGCACTGAGCTGGTGTGGGTCTACTTTAGGCCCATTGACTTGGTGCGTGTATTGGAGTTTTCCCCAGTAATTGAGAAGGTAACTTCCCTGTGCCTTCCGATGGGCTCTGATGGTGGTTGTGCCTATGCGCCAAACAACAGTTCAGAGTATCCAGCTTTCTTGGAGTTCTTATTGGGGGAGTGGAAGGTGCTCCAGCTGGGGACTCCCTTTTTCTGCTGGGGTACATCAGTGTTCATGTGGGTGATGACAGTGTGGCCTGGAGGGGTGTGACTGGGAGGAACATCCTCTCTGTTGTTGGACTTATGTGCTAGTCACAGTTTGGCTTGGACACTTGGGTTAAGAGAGGAGCTCAGCTGTCAGTTGATCACCACCTGTTTGTGAGTTGGATCAGATGGCAGGGGACGATGCCGGACAGAATCAGTAGACCCAACTGTGTAGTGAGGGTTTGCTGGGAATGCCTGGCAGAAAAAAAAACCCATCTGAAATATCTTCAACACACACATCTGAGAGAACTTTGACTACATTCCAGCTGGCGTTGAGTCTGAGTGGGCCATGTTTTACACTTCAGTTTTCAAGGCTGCCTTGAGTTGGTTGCATGTTTGTTTGTGCTTCTCCCGGTGGACATCCTCAAAATTGGTGGTGGACACCCTGGGTTAGGAAGATTGTCAAGCTGAAGAAAGAGTCCAAGCGGGCCTTGTTGCCTGGTAGGACTCCAAAGACAGGTGAGGAGTGTCAGCAGACCAAGCAGGCAGCGGCATTGGCTGTTAAGGCAAAGGTTTAGATGTAGGAGAAGTTCAGTGAAACCTTTGATAAAGACTCTTGATCATTTCCTGGGAGATTCTAACATACCATCTGGTGGCTGAGGCAGGGGAAGCAGCACTTTACTGACACTATAGTAAAGTAATTTCCTTAAGATATTTTGTGTGGTTGACACACCTTTGCTGAAGGTCGAACCTCAGATTCAGGAGGAAAAATGCAGGTTCCATTCTGGCTGTGGAACACTGGACCAACTTTTTACCCTCACTAGGTTCCTCGAGAGGTCATGGGAGGTTGCTCTTTTCTAAAATGTAAGTGTTATATGTTACAGTTGGAGAAAAAAAAAACATACTTGGTTCCTATGGTTTTAATTAAATGAAAAAAAAAAATATATATATACAAATATATATTGATAGTGATCCATACATACAAAG